ATTTATGTTGGGATGAGTTGTTTTGTAGGTTGGTTTACTTACTTGCAAGTATAATTTGGTTATTGGTTTATTTTCTCTGTTTGTAAGGTTGGATTTGGATGATTGATCCCATTTAGGAGCAAATTTTGTGTTTTTGGTTTATAATTTTCTGGATTAGTGTCTTCAGAATTTATTGCATTTGTTAAATGTTAGCAACCATCTTGCAGGGACATCTTATAACCAACAAATTCAAAAGGAAATATCAAAAGGTTAAAGTCGTTGAATGGAAAGAGCATTTTTAATTGGCTTAATGTTACATTTTTTTTATTTTTTTTATTTCTTTGAAAAAAAAGTAACTTAAAGACAATTTATTGGAGAATGGACTTCTCAATGAAGTGAATTATTTGAATGGTACAACCAACGACAAATGTTTAAATCAGGAATGCACAAATATTTAAATTAATATAAATTATATATATTTATATAATATTAAAATTATAAGTTAGGTAAGATTATTACATTTTAAAAATTTTGATATTAGTAAAAATGAACATTATAAAATTATTCAACTTCATCGCTATATTGCTATATTGATTGAATAAAATAAAATGGATAATATTATTCTTATCAATTGATCTTCACCTTTTAATTATATTAAAAAGTATTAAAATTATTATTATTATTATTATAGCAGGATAGTGACCGGTCAGCAGACTATGAAGGAAATGGCCACAAATTTTTTTATTGATATCTACACAGTTGGAGCGGGCTCGTCGACGACAGTTCACATTACGGATTCATTTCCCGCAGCCGACCCTCGGCGTCTATCATCCATAGGCCGTGATTTGTCGGACGCAGAGATTCTTCAATCGCTCAAAAAGATGCCACCATTGAAAGCTCTCGGGCCGGATGGATTACACGCTATTTTCTTTCATCAAAAGTGGAATATTGTGGGTCCATCAGTCTGCTTGTTGATCCGTGACGTATGGCGTGGCGGGCCAGTTTCCGGCTTCTTTGAACAAGTCTTTAATTGTTCTAATACCCAAAGTTGATAACCCGTCGTCTCTAAAGCAGTTCTAACCTATTAGCCTGCTCAATGTGGTTTACAAGCTGACTACGAAGGTTTAGAACGTATGAAGTTGGTGCTCCCGTCGATTATTAATCCAGCCCAAGTGCGTTTTGTACCCGGGCGCCATATATCGGATAATATTATTGTGGCACAGGAATTAATTCACTCGATGAGAACTTTACGAGGCCGACGTGGTTTTATGGTGGTGAAAATTGATTTAGAGAAAGCCTATGATTTTCTCTGGTGGGATTTTATACGGCAGTCGCTGGAGCTAGTGGGTTTCCCAGGTATATTTGTGAATGCAGTGATGAACTGTGTTACTTCGAGATCCATGCAGCTGCTGTGGAATGGGGGGGGTCTGCGAGGAGTTCGTTCCGTCCAGAGGGGTTCGCCAAGGGGACCTTATCTCTCCATATCTTTTTGTCTTATGCATGGAACGGCTAGCTCATATGATTGACTCTTCAGTCGGTGATGGACATTGGGCGCCAATTTCCGTGGGTAGAGGAGCTGTTTCGGTTCCTTACATAATGTTTGCTGATGACCTACTTCTTTTTGTTGAGGCGACCTCGACTCAAGCACGTGTTTTAAAGACTATCCTACAGGTGTTCTGTGATGCATACGGGCTTAAGGTTAATGAGAACAAAACGCAAGTATTCTTCTCTAGAAATGTGCCGTCTGCAGTGCGAGCGTCTTTGACGGCTTAGTTGGGTTTCAAGATGGTGGAGAATCTTGGTAAGTATCTCGGAATGCCGGTGATTCATGGACGAGTCACTAAAATCTACCTATGGGAAGTTGTTGGACGAGGCGGAGAAACGTCTAGCTGGATGGAAAGCTTCAACCCTTTCGATGGCTGGGAGAGTGGTTCTTACGCAATCAATTTTGAGTTCGTTGCCTTATTTTTCGATGCAAACGGTCCTGCTACCAGCTGGGGTTTGTAATGCGTTGGAACGCAAGTGTCGTAATTTTATTTGGGGCGGTACAGAAACCAACCGACGAGTTAGTCTGGTGTCGTGGCCTGAGGTTTGTCGACCGAAGGATGAGGGCGGGCTAGGGTTAAAGGAGCAGCGGTGCATGAATAGAGCGTTGATTTCGAAGTTGGCTTGGAGTTTTCTTACGCAACCGCAATCGTTATGGGTTCGAGTGGTGCGGGCAAAATATGGCTCAAATCTTGAGTATATGGGATCAGAGTTTTCTTTTCCCCGCGGTTCAAGTCTATTAACGGTATTGCGGAGTGTTTGGAAGGATGTGATTGTCGGCACTAGGTGGTCGGTAGGGAATGGTGGTCGAGCACTTTTCTGGTGGGATAGATGGCTACATGCTTCGGAGCCCCTAATTACGTATGCCACTGGACCAGTCCCGGAGCATTTACTTCATGCACCAGTTTCGGCGTTTGCATCCACGGATGGCGGTTGGCATTGGAGTCTTTTTCAGCATCTGGTTCCAGCGACGTGCCTGATGAAAATTGGGCGACTGATTTGGTGATGGGTGGGCCCACAACGGATCCACCATTTTTTGTGGTTGGCGTTTCGTGACAGTCTTTTGACTAACGAAGTGCGTCAACGCCGCCATATGACCATTTTCTCGTGCTGTCCAGTTTGTATGGATGCTGATGAGTCCACGCTGCATGTGTTGAGGGATTATTCTGTAGCTGCGGCAACTTGGCGTAAGTTGATATCTCCGGATGGGTGGGATGCTTTCTTTTCTCGTCCTCTGCAGGCGTGGGTCTGTGCCAATTTGGATGGGACTTTGACGCATGACACTGAGGATTGGACGACAGTGTTTGGGGTCACAGCTTGGCGTATGTGGCGATGGCGCAACTTGAAGATTTTTCGGAATAAGAGTCGATCGGTGGAGGGTCGAGTGCATGACATCCGCTTTTTCGTACATAGCATTGAAGCAGAGACAGATTGTGGTCATGTTTTGGGTGGCGCAGGCCGGCATTAGCAATGTTTGATAGGGTGGGACCCTCCTGAACCGGGAATGGTGAAGGTCAACACAGATGGCAGCCACTCACCGAGTACGGGTATGGCTAGTGCGGGCGGCGTCATTCGGGATCATATGGGCAAATGGCTGAGTGGATTCGTGATGAATATTGGGTTTTGTTCTGTCATTGGTGCCGAACTTTGGGGCCTGTTTCAGGGGTTGCAGCTTGCA